CATAGTTTGTGAATAATTGATTTATGATTTATATTTATTATCTATATATATATAATAAGAATTATCATTTACTAAAATAGTAGCCAAAAGTTTAGGAAACATTGAATGCATACCATTTTTGAAAACTTTTTAAATATATACATTAATTGCTTCCATATACACGTTTTCAAATAAGATATGATCAAAAAATTAATTAAATAAAGTTATTAATATCTGCAATACTTTCATTGATATTTATTATAATAAATTACAAGATTGATTTTCCGTGATTCATGTTGATAATATTTTGGTCAAGATAAATATTATTTTGTTAATATTTGTAATACTTTCATTGATATTCATTATAATAAATTACAAGATTGATTTCCATGATCCATGTTCAGAATATTTTGGTCAAGATAAATAGTACATCATATTTTAAGTTCTAACCATAATATAATTCTTTTTTCACAAATGTTCATTTTTTATACAAAAATATTTATGGAAAATCGTAACAGTTTAGGTAAAATTGTTTTTCCAAGTAATCAGACAAATAAAGTTGGTGAACTAATCTTTGCAATATATTTTTTTCTAAAGCTTTATTTTGTTAAATATAAAAAATAAATTATTTTTCAAATTACTATAATTTACTATTTAAGAGATAATGACCATATACATTAAATAGTTCTATTAATGGTAAAAAATTAAAATTGGAATATATTAACTATTTTTTAGAATTTATCTGTATATTATTGGCACCCATGATTATTTTTTTTTATTTTGATTTATTTCTATAATTAAATTCTTGTAAAATAAATTGTCATTGCAGAGTATGCTAAATAAACTATAAATCCTTATTAAGGGATTGAGTTTTTGGTATTTTCTAAGTCAAAGTTGTTTAATTAGTATACAAAATCAAATTCTAAAAAAACATGTTTATATTTTGTAAAATATTTACAAACTATTTAATTTTAAATTTATTTACATATTTTAAATTGATTACATAAATAAATAATACTAACGTGCATTAAATATTTTTCATTACATAAAATAAAAAGAAAAATAAGACGTACAACTTCTATAACTTTATAAATAATAATGACATTATATGACAACAAAATATATAATAAAATAATAATTAAGTATTATATGGTGAACAATAATAAGTAAAATTATATACTAAAATTAAATTTATATTAATATAATGTGTTAGTGAGATAATATATTAATTATTTTACAAATTAGCACTAACATGATCATATTTAATGTTTTGACTAAAAAAACCACGCTGAGTAAAAGAGGTGGAAAATAGATTATAACTTTATTGTTTATTACACTTAAGGCTGATTAAAAGAGGTGAAAAATAGATGATAACTCTATTGCTTTATATACTTATATAAACGGACAAAGACTGTGAAAATAATTCAGTTAATATGTCTGTCCAGTGCATCGCACGGGGTACGTACTAGTTGATTTATAATAGCATTAGTTTTTTTTATTTATAACTCGTCTACATATTATTTTATTTCGAATAACGTATTTTTTTGAAAAAAAAATTAAAAAGTGGAATAAATATGTAGAAAAAATAAGCTTAATTAAAGATGGCACACCGTGTTCAAAATTTTCAAGAACTATACATGAATCTAGTCCAAGATGAAATCAGTAATTTATTTATTTTTCTTCTGCATATAGTTCTTGGAACTTGAAACACATGACATACAAAGGCACTTAGGCACGCAAACGACAAAATTCAAGATGTGTCCTTAATTAATTTTATAGAGAATCCAATGGAAACATAGTACCAAATTTGATTTTAATAATTATCGGCCGCATGATCAATAAACTTTAAATTGTTTAGATGACTATTAAGTGAAAAAGACCAAACAAAACAATCTAATGCATGCTACAATTGAACCACATCGGACAGTGATACTAATTTTTCGTGTCAATTGTTATTTCATTTTTTGTCACAAAGGATGAGCATTATATTATTTTTATCTTATTAATCACCAGTAAGGTTTGAAATTTACATGTAGGTAACTTGATCACATTAACTAAATCAAATTTATGAGTTGATCTCGAGACTTAACGAGCCGAACTATAAAAATTATATAAAATAAATCTCTTTTCGAGCTTTAATTAACAATTGCCGATACGAACCTGATTCAATAATGAAACGAGCTTTAAAAGAGCTCGAACTTGACTTATTTATTAAACCTGAAGTAAGTCAACTTCAGACTAGCTCATTTCATTTAATAACTATAGTTGTAAACCATCCTTTGATGTTTTATTTTCTCTCGTTGTATTCCTCTTTTTCTTTTTTCTGTTTCATTTTTTGTTCTCACTTTTTTGGTTAAACAAAATATGGGGCAAAAACGTCAAATTGATTGGATGGATTTCTTGAAATACCATGTATCATGTCAACCTGCTAAACCAAACTGTCACCTACCAATAACTTTGCCCATAAATCAATTTTGATTGGTCATCCTCTCATTTGACTGGTTTATAATTATTACAAAATCTACCATTATGTAACGATAAATAAAGTTTCTTTGGATAAAGCTAGTTTTTTTTATTGGATTAGTTAATTTATTTGATAAAAGGGAGTTAAATATAAAATTGATTGAATGAATATTTGGGTTTGATTTTGAATATGTGAATGGATGTGAGTTAAAATATAACGATTAAAAGTGATGTGATGTAAAAGTAATAAACTGATTGAAAGTTAACAATGTATGAGTAAGTGAATAGTGAATTTTGTTGGAAATTGTGTGATAATGATTGACTGATTGATTTTATTTAACTACATGACTAATATTGACCAAAGATAATCTGGGTTATATAAATATTGAATTTTGAGTTAAAAATTCATATCCAATCATAGTTCTGGAAAAAAAAAAAAAAATATTCATCCAATTAAAACGAGAAAATATTTATTTCCAATCGCTCTACCCGTTCAATCCTACTGGGGGTTGCAGTGCAATCACCGAGTTTTCATTGTTGTATCAATACACATCCATATGAATATGTGTGTGTGTGTGTGTTTTGTTGAATCAACGGTAAAAAAAATTAGTAACTGAGACTGTAGTTAAGATGAAATTTTCCCATATTTACATATATACCCATCCACCTACTTGCATATATGTTTGTGAAATATGTGGTTGAATAATTCATTGTTTGACAAGTAGTTTGATGATTTACAATAGTTCATACCAAATTTCTGTCTCAGAATTCATTTTCTTTTCCCTAAAATGGTAGCTACAAGTCAATCAAGTCAAACTACTTTTATGATTATGTCCTAAAGTTCTCAACTTATTGTAACCTTAATTTCTTCATTTTGTACAGATAGATATTTGTCAAAGCAACATAATTGCAGGAGTTGTTGTACAAAGCACAAACAGTTGTATTTTGCCACTTATACATTCTGCCATTAAAGTTCGCTATCGCCTTATTCACTACAGACTTGAGTCACTTGACTTAGAGCACAGATAGGAAATTCATAATTTGCACGCGTGCACTTTTCATAACGTACCTATTTTTTTTTTTTTTCAATTTAAATTCATACTTTGGACCACTGTTTTCAAAACTGGATTCGATTGTTGACCGATCAAGTTCGTTGGCATGAACAGGTTGTCTTTGAACCAATCAACAACTGACTGAGCCAGTCAAAATCGGTCAGTCAAATCAGTCCAATTTTTGTTAAAGCAAGTTTTAATATATTTTAATTTTTTTTTACAAATATAAATATATATATTTAATATACAAGGGATATGTAAAACATTTGAATGTTTTGAATTGTATAAATATTTAATAATCACGAATTTACTTTAATAAATTTTATATCAAGAATTAAATATATTTAAAATAATATAAATTAAATACCATGATTCAACCACTTGTCCAATCAGTGAACCAGTAGTTTAAGATGTCTAGTCAGAGAACCTTGATTACATTCACTTAAAATTAGAGTTAAACTAGTATTCGATCTTGTGCATTTGCACAGATGTAAATAAAATTAAATATTATAAGTTATATTTATGTATATAATATAAAAATTATAAGTTATATAATTGTATTATATTCCAAGCATATAGTATTATAAGTTATATTTATGTATATAATATTAAAAGTATAAATTATATAATAGTATTATATTTTAAAATTTGATCATTGGTTAAAATAAATAGTACACACGATTTGATTGTATACGAATCACTATATTGATTGTATAAAAAACAATAAATATATACGTTTTATAATTTTGAGTGATCATGACCAATTAATTAGCTGAAAAATATTACATATATTATAACAATTGCTTATGTGATTTTAAGAAATTTTACTATGACATAAAAAAAATTAATTTATTAATAAACATCATCTTCATCATATAAAAAAATATTGATTTTAGTGTAGAATATAATTTTATGTAACTTTTATATATTAGTATAAAATATAATTACTTATTTAATAAAAAATATAATTATTAATCAATTAATATAAAATATAATAGTTTTTGTCTTAATTAACCCAAAAAATGTAATGAAATATTTTCTTATTAATAAGATTGGGTGTATTAATGCCACATAAATAAAATTTATTAGGTTCTATTTATTAGGTTTTATTAATGATTTGCCACATAGGTAAAATTTATTAGGTAAAATTTATTGCTTAGCTAGCAATTATATATATATAGATATGAACAATATAAATATAGATTGATATAAATTGCATGCGTTTTACATTGCTTTAAATTTTTTTCACATACTTTGGCTGAAAAACAATGTAAATATGTAATTGTTTGATGATTTCCTTTTTCTTTTCTTCGGTTTATGTGTTCTGTGTTCTTTTAAAATAGAGACAAACGGATGAATGCTAGTTACTATAAGCAACTGGTAATTACTCTGACTATGAAAAAACATGGAACACTTTACCATAGGTACAAGTATATAGCTATGAACCGTTGAAAGTAATGGATTGTTCGTAATTTCGAAAGACAAATGGGTCGAAATGTAAATAGACTAAACCTCAGGGTAGTTTCTGTAACCATCAGCACGAAAAACCGAACCTCTTGTCGAACATAAACTAAACACCACCATCACAAAGCCACGCCAAACAGACAAAACAACAATCTTAACAGACAAAAATCTTGCAAAATAGTAATATCCCAATTTAGTGACTGGCTAGTTAATCTGTTACCAAATGAAAAATAAAAATTCACAATCAGTTGAATGTTACTATGGCGACATGTCGGGACAGAAAGCGGATGGCTTTCATAAGATTCAATTTACAAAAATAAAATGGAAAATGAAAAAAAAAATGTTATCAAT